CATCATCCACAAAATAGTTTAGAAAAATTTCATCTTTCATATATTTATAAATCCATACTAGTATATACGTTGATATATATAGTACCTATAACACATTAGTAGACACGGTTAACTTACGAATGGGTAGAAAAACAATTGAGAAACGAATTAGGAGTAGGAAGAAGGAGAAACAATTTAATTCTTATATTTAATCCTAAAATTACGTAAATATTAATCATATAAATATGGAATAACATTTGTCACAATCTAATAAAAAGATAATAAAAATAAGCTGATATGGATAATCAACGAGTGGACCTAATCCAACAAAGTGGACTAAATCCAACAAAGTGGGCTAAATCCAATAATAACTCCCAAAATTGGACTTATATCAAGTTTGCTCTTATTATACACTAATAGAAAGCAATAAGTACTTCAAACCAGTGACGGTATCAAAATTTAATCGTGAGGGCATTTCATCGAGCACTTGATGTGCATATCGTCCTTTGCCAAGCTATGTTGCTTGCATACTTACATATGAGGAGTGTTGTCAAGTGATCCTAGTGAGTTTTGTTGAGACCCCCTACTGAATAATGCCAACACATTATAACGAGTGCTATCGGGATATGCAAAATATTTATTTCAGCGAACACTTAGTGGGAATAAAAGAGTCTCATGTCAGACATTGGAAAGGTCCCTAAGAACTTCACCAACTGTTTCTCCGACCTCTTGAGGGTCCCTATGAACCCACCCCTGCTTCAAACTAATATCAGTAAGAATAAAACTTGCATTTTCTTATAAGGGAATGCACATATTCCACTCTTTAAGAATAATGGATCTTCAACATATAAATTTTATAATTGAAACAATCCATTTTTAATATTGTTATTACCATATTATATTGATCTCGAAACTACTAAGTACCAGGTCAACTACAAAGCACCTTGAACCCACCTAAGAGTACGTGCTTTGGCACCCATGTCGAATCACATGAAACAACGTCACAACAAGTGAGAGCCACGACACATTTCAATTACCCATTAGCTATCCCCAAACCAATGCGATATTTCGCTCCAACTTGAAGGCCAATCACAATATGACAAGTGGCGGCACCACATTAAGTGCATTCTATCCCACATTGGCCAATTTTAAGAATTCTCCTCCAACCTTGCCTCTATAAAAGGTTAACCTCTACTCCTTTCAAATGTTTAATCATCATTACTACTTAAACACTTATTATCTCTAAACTCACCCATGAGGCGCCTTAAACATACTTTACTAGCTTAAGCAACAGAAGCTCTTAGTCTGGTACCACACCAGTGACCTTTGATACTTATTCTACCTTCCTTGCACGTTGCTTCTTCTAGCTACTCTTGACTGGAAGGCTCTCGCGAAGATCCTAACACCCCTGTCTTACATTGACCCGAAGTCCACTCGGTTTCGTACATCAACAAATCCTATATAAAGATCATACATATAAAATTATTTGAATTGAAGAGGGTTTATGCATTAAACTGTATGATAATAATTGAGGAGTAAATTAACACATTCTTCTAGTGGAAATAGACAATAATTTAAAGTATTGGAGCTAGGTATATCATCTCTAGTACCTAATTCAGAGTCGGTCCTGAGGGTAGTCAGAGTAGGGGGGCCGTCTAGGGCCCCTACTCAGGAGAGGTCCTCAATTTTTTAATATATATATATATATATATATATAATTTAATATTACATTCTTTGTGCCTGTTCAAATAAGAAGTTTATAGATTTTGAGTTTTTAAGTCTTTGCTTATAAAATTTTGTTAACTATACCAGTTACATTTGTCTATGTAGAAAAAAGTTTTTCAAAATAAAGTTGATCAAATCTTATCTTTGATCAACTATGACATAAGAATAATTGAATGAGTTAGCTATATTATTAATTGAAAAAAAAATTGGTTAAAAAATTAGATTATATAAACGTAATCTGTGTTTATGGGGATGTGTTTCCATCATTCATTCAAGTTCTACATGCTCTCAATATTTTCTCTAGATATGAAATATTGGAACTTCTTTCCAAGCATCTATTCTCTTGCACATTCTTCAGGTGGTTGTGACTTGTGACAAATAAATGATTATTTAAGATAGACAAGGTTAATGAAGCTAGTGACAATTTATGTAACAAGGACATTTTCTTATTAGGATCTTTGTGCAGAATCATTGGAGTGTTTTTGTGCAAATACCATACAGAATGTTGTAGTCGATATTGAACTTAAGTTTGTTCTATGGTCGCCTCTTGCTGATTTTTTGTTCTCTTTCACATAGATAGCCATTTGTTATGCCTCTAATGTAGAAATTCATTGCAAATATACACATATTGACTATATAAAAAAAAAAATTCTTTTTTTTTCGGGTAGCTTTAGTTGTTTTCATGTCGCACATAGTAAGTGTTGGTTGTGGGATTTGCACACAACTTTTCCTGCGTGAGTGATGAACTCTTGTTAATTGAAGGTGCCTTAGCAAAGCTTTGGATAAGCTCTTAAGCTCTCTTACAAAATTGGTTGATTTTAGACGTGCCACTGTTGGCCAAGAACAATAGATTGTTTGTCAAATAGGTCATTTGCTTTCGCCACAAGTAAACTGACCTTCTTATCAAAGATTGTTCTTATGGAGGGGTTAAGTCCATATTTAAGTTCTTTTTCATGCCTGACGATAATGACTTTATTTATTTATATTTTTTTTTGTATAGAATGCCAACACACTGACCACAAACTGATCAGAGATGATCCAAACCAGTTTGCAATCCTTGTAAGAAAGTAAAGACAGGAAGCCGAGTAAAGAATAAGTGAAAACTAAAAGAAAAGTGCTTGCGAATACTTATGAAATGTTAACCAAAAGGACATTAAATAACATGAAAGGATAAAAACTTGAAAGTAAATGATAAATCCAAGATATTGGGCAAAGTTTAAACCTATTTGGGCAACTTTAAATGCATGTCAGGCCAGTTGTTGCAAGTATAGGGACTATTCTGAGAAGGGAATTTAATACAAAAAAATCAATCTACAAAGGGAAGTAGCAGAACTATAAATACGAAGGAATGTTTGAACTACAAAGAGAATAAGTAAAAAGTAGGTTGTAGAGTTTTTAGAAGTCTTTTTGTAAGATTAGTTGGGTACCGGTGCTCTCTTTCTTCAATGCCTCTGCTGTTTTTTTTTATAGAAATTGCCCATTTCTTTCAAAGTAAGTTCTTAATTCAGGTTCAAGTGGTTGATGTGATATTGTTGGAGGATGAGTTTCCCACTTGATACTTGAGCTTTGATGCCCTTGTATCTACGATTTTGTTATCGGACGGGTGCTTTTCTCTGTAAAACAAGACTGCAAAATCCTCTCTTCTGTGTGAACGAGAGTGACCTTACCACCCAAACATGCCACGTCAAAAGTACTTTAAAACTTTGAGTTGATTACTGTTGATCTGTGTCAAAATTAAATACCCAATAAGAAAACCAAGCGAATTTGGAGAACCGTGATTTCTAAGGTGCGGACGGAGCTTTACAGATGGTATCTTTCTCACGTTAGTGTTGTGCTTGTATGATATTTGACATATGAATAACAATCGTAGTTTCTGTTTCTCTTTGAGAATATTCTGCGCAATGGAAGCAAGCTTATGAGTGCCGAAAAATCAACACTTATGACTGATTTGCATCAAGTAGGGATGACTCAAATAGGCTTCCGTGTGCTAAATTGTAATCATATTGTGTGTGAATCAGTAATTTAGGCATCATTCTTAGTGCTAAGAGTATTTAAAAAAGGCAGAGTACTTGTTACTGCAAGAGGAACAACGGGAAAGGTCTTTGTGCCTCGTGGATGAATTTGGTAAAGGTACTCCCTCGCAAATAAGTAATGATTCTTGGTCCAAGTTTAGCAGTTGCAGTGTTGTGTAATGTTCTCAATATTGTATCAGATGGTGTTGGTCTGCTTGGTGGAACCATAAACTACTTGGTTTCACATGATGACCACCCAAGGGTTGCAGTGCTGTACAATGAGAATGTATCAGCTATGGGCCAGCAATTCTTACCAGGTTTTAATCCCAAAACTGAATATGTGGTTCAGAAATGAACCATGACATATTATAGAGGAACACGGCCTCTACGAAACCATGAGATGGAATGCGGCAATACCATTATACACCGGAATAACATTTTTCTTTATTTTTTCTTTCTTCTTCATTTAAATGCAGATTGTAGTGGACAAGATGCTGGCATTTGATCTTCACAAACGCAACATAAGTTTTTTTTCTGATAAGATCATGAATAAGAAATGATGAAATTGAGGTTCCACCATAAAACCAATTGACAATATAGAGAGTAGCCCAAGATCATATAAGCACATAGCAAACCTTGTCCCTCACCAATGTGGGACAACTCTCAATACGCCCCCCGCATGTGTGGCGTGTGGTGGATTTTCAAGCCTACACGTGGACAACAACTAAGTGACGTGGAGGGCGTGTGGCCGTTGGGCTTCACACATGGACAACCTGGCTTTGATACCATGATAAAATTGAGGTTCCACCATAAAACCAATTGGTAATATGAGGAGTAGCCCAAGATCATATAAGCACATAGCAAACATTGTCCCTCACTAATGTGAGACAACTCTCAACAAGAAATACATTATTTAAACCCGAAAGTTGTTTCTTTATCCATTTTTTTTCTTTCAAGAAACTTTATGCTTTGCTTTACAGAAAATTTTCCCAAGAATGAGTGCAGGAAGATTAACAAATGTATGTGGCTGGCAATTTATGCAGACTGAAGCATTCTCTACTGTTCGAGGGATGACAACGTATTATCTCCCATCTCCATTCAAGAGAAAGGTTGAATCATTGGGCCATTTACTTCTTTTTTATCACATTTTCTCCTATTTCTATAACTCAAATTGATCGATTTTGATATTATGTGAAGCGGATGATGCTGGAATATAATCGTTTTCTTTGCTTTTCGAAATCTGTCATGGTGCTTTGCTTCTTTTGTGATGGTACAGACAGAATTTCATTGATTCACGCTTTAATACACACGAATTTAGCCCAAGTATAACCTCCTAAGAAGGCCAATCTATACACTATTAGACATTCTAGTTACACGGTGACTATTATATCGAGCAGCCGAGTTTTTATAGAGCAATTAACTCCTTCACAGTCATTGGGGATGAGTATTCTGAAGGGCCATCGAAAAGTTTATCCGTTATGATGCCATGAGTTGCCTGTGTAGGATGGTAAAAATCCCAGAAGACATGGTCCCTCCTGTTGGAGCACAAAGATGAAATTGGTGTGCATGGACCCTTGGCATTACGCTTCCCAATCCCACAGCATGCAGCTTTAACCTCTGTAAATCCTGAAATCGAATGAGAAATTTTTGGTTTGTCAGTTAACTTCAAATTCTTCCTTTAGTTCTTACAAAGGTGGGAAAATATCTAGCTTATCATGAACCGCATATGTTCAAATTGACGGTTTGACAACACATGCTAGACGGATTGGCCATAGATTGTTTGCGCTTATAAAGAAGAAAATGAACATATGAGTACCGTAAGAAGCGGGGTTTTGAATGATGTTAGTCAAGATAGTGTAAGTGTCAAAGAGGGTGTAGCTTATGCCCAACGCGGGTTTCAATTGCTGCAACATGGACTTAAGGGCTTCCTTGTACATGACAGACAACGAGTTTGCACCATCATTGCACTCTCCTGTACTTGAATTCCTTTGCGACGGACAGCATCCAACCGGCCCAGTCCCGATGACTACAAATTTTTGCGCGCCTAGAGCATGTATTCTCTGCCGAACAACAAACAAAGCAAGAAACACGTTAAGCATTGAAGTGCAACAGAAGTTTCACCATGCAAACATGGAGCTAAGATAATGCGTGCTTGTTACCTGTAATTGTTCCTTTAGATTCGACACCATCAAATCCGCGTACTGCTGCGGTGTGTATTCATTTTGGAGTTTGGTTTTTTTAATATAGTCGAATATGTCATTGCTTCCAATCACAACTAAAAACAGAGATTTTGAGAGATGGTCATTGGCGCCCTTGGATCCTAATTGTAGCCCAATGTTTTGATGCACTTCTGAGTAGTAGTTTACTTGGTATGACAAAGGTATCGACTGACGCTGTGACAACATGAGCAATATATATAGGTTAGGCATTAATCGTTGGACAAAGCTATTCTATTTGTCCTTCACACGTCAAGTTACATCATAAATTGTTATATTCAAATAAGATATATTTTTAATGATAAATATATTAGATTTCTTCTATTTAGATTCTCTTGACATAGCTTCTTGTTTAAAAGTAAAATTATAGTGCACACTACCATATAATATTACTATTTTATTCAAATTATAACGTAAATAGTAACACCACATCATAATATTTCTGCTACATAAAAATTTCTCCTGATTTTGCGGACTTCACTTTGAACCACATTAGGTGTTGGTATAGAATAACACCCAACTTTTCTTTTAAAAGCTTTTCACTAACTTTGACAAGTAGGGTTAAATGGATCCCACCCAACTAATATAAAAAAAGGAATTGGGTTCTAAAGCATTTTTAGTGGAACGGAATATACTAAAAGTGCTGAAGAAAGAGTGATTTTTCTTTTGAAAGAGTGCTGAAAACATTTCACTTACATATTGTTCATCTGAGCCGTTGAAGATTCCAGCTCCTCCGGAGGCGAAGCTAACTCCGTTGACGAAGGATGCTTTTTGCTTGATGGACTTGGAAACAAGTGACAGATATGGTGGCGATGTGGGTAACCCGACTTTCTCAGCTGCCAAACAAAGGATAACAATATTGTATACTACATACCGTAAGTGCCTCTCGTTCTCTCAACATGCATAATGTCACTAGTCATGATTTATAAACTGAAATAATATTAAACCTACCAAGAAAATCTGCAGAGTTTTTTCCATTGCCAAACCTCCCAGTTGCTACTTTGTCAGGATAATCAACCCCATTATGAGGAAAATTTGCCTTGACGACAGAGATTTTTAGGTAATCGTTGTTACCAACGTCGACTAACGAGTCTCCAAACACATATATGGCCGGAACCATCTGAGCTTCTGAGAGAGTGAAGAAGAAACCACAAGTGACGAGAGAGAAGACAACGACGAAGAAAGCCTTAGGCAAAACATTAGTGTGACATTTAGCCATGGTTATGGACAAACTGTGTGTAAAAGCTCCCTCAAAATTTGGTATGCGATGTTTTTGTGTGATAGTTTTGAGGGAAATGAACAAATCGGTGTCCTCTTATAGGGGAGATAAGTTGATGAGTTACGTACGTGTGAAGGAGACATTTTTGCCGTGTGGGCTCGATCAGTAGCACTCATCGAAACCTCTTATATCCTGACACTAATATTGTCATTACATATAATTATTTTATAATTTGTTCTTCAACCCTTGCTTGTCTCTTCCCAAAAGATCAAACTTTTGTCATTGGAATTTACTTTTATTAATACAAGTAATGTCTTTTGAATAACTAATCCTTTTTTCTTGATTTAATTGTTAGAGCATCTCGTTACCAGTTTCATTAATCATGATCGCCTATCACCATTGATCATTCTCATCATTTCTTGATTGTTCTTTTGGTTAACTACCAATTTCTCCGTTGATTTATTCATTGAATTTGCTATTTTATGTACCTTTCTTAGTTACATAATAGTTGCATAAATATTGATTTTTTTTATGAAAGAATAAACATCTAATTCCACCAAATTATTCTCGTTTATAATTTTTTTTAAACAACTATATATTTTCAAGGGTGTGGGGAATAAATTGGTTACGAATTCGCCATCAACGAGATACGAATTCTACCGGATTATTCTCGATTATAATTTATCATCCTTAGAATTAACATTAATCACATCTTTTTTTGTTGCTAAAATTACATTCTTCTCTTTCCCATTTCAAAGAAGGAAAAAACATCATAGAATATGACAAAAAAAAAAAAAAAGGGAAAAAGGATACAGAGAAGAAGAAAGAGACATCCTTCACAGTTCATAACACATATCTCTATCCTTGTCTGCTGCCGGAGTCTAATCTACTGATTGCTGCGTGGATGCACCGTCCCGAGTCCCACACTCCACACTCCACGCACCATCAAACTTTCCTTTTTCTTCTTCTTTCGCTATTCTTCCATATTTGAACACCTGTTTGTATTTTTGTGCATTTAAATTTTATTTAATGACCCAAAACAATTGTTTACAGATTTCTCATATGTTGCAATCTTGCATGTTTGTGGTATTTTATAATTGACAGAGTTATGGTGTGCCTGAATTATAAAATACAAAATGTTGCTCTCCTCGACTAGATGGACTGGCAATTTGGCAGCGGGTCAGTGGATGGGGATGGTCGATATTTGGTGTGGCCAATGTGTCAATATCACACTCTTAATTCAGTTCGGAATGGTTTACCATTTTGTGTATATTTTTAAGCATGAGATGGTAACAGATATTTTAATCTCTTATACAAACTAGACCTGGCATTCGTGTCGTGTTTCTCGTGTTCATGTCGTTTTCATGTCATACCCGATAGCTTAACGGGTCGTGTCGTGTAATACCTGTTAAAGTAAATGGGTAATATGACCCGACCCGAAATCAACCCGTTAATATTATCAGGTAATATGACCCGACCCGTTACCCGTTAAGAAAATTATATTTTAAATTAATAAAAATGAAAAGAAAAACATAATTTGACCCAAAAAAATGTAAAACATAATACTAAATTAGTATATACATACTAAATTTCGGAGTTGACCTCTTAATGAAAGTTGTAAAGCTTTTCATTACGAGTGATTATATTTTTCACACTTATTATTATTAATTTTTCACTCAAATATATAACATTGTTCATGAAATTTGGAGGGTTTTAAAAATCTACACTTATTTATACTTTCATCAAGTATAACATAAGATTTTATGGTATCCACTAGTGTAAATATTTTAAATTGAAGATCGAATTCATTCATTGTATTCATATAGGGTCAATGAGTGCAGCTGTAAAAAATCATCAAAATCGGAGTTAAAATAACCGTTAAATCGTAATTTTTCGTTTATAACCGTCGAAAAGTTTTGTCTTATTACTTGATCTCTGAATGTTTGTTTTTTTGCAATTTTTGGCGTATGCGATCTCGAAGTATATATAAACAAGTTTGACGGTTGGATCGTTGAAATTAGTTTCGTAGGATGCGTATCCCATCAAAACGATAGATTCACTAACACTTAAGAGTTTATTTATACTTTCATCAAGTATAACATAAGATTTTGTGGTATCCACTAGTGTAAATATTTTAAATTGAAGATCGAATTCATTCATTGTATTCATTTAGGGTCAAGGAGTGTAGCTGTAAAAAATCATCAAAATCGGAGTTATAATAACCGTTAAATCATGATTTTTCGTTTATAACCGTCGAAAAGTTTTGCCTCATTACTTGATCTCTGAATGTTTGTTTTTTGCAATTTTTGGCGTACGCGATCTCGAAGCATATATAAACAAGTTTGACGGTTGGATCATTGAAATTAGTTTCGTAGGATGCGTATCACATCAAAACGATTGATTCACTAACACTTAAGAGTTTATTTATACTTTCATCAAGTATAACATAAGATTTTGTGGTATCCACTAGTGTAAATATTTTAAATTTGTTTAGGGTCAAGGAGTGTAGCTGTAAAAAATCATCAAAATCGGAATTAAAATAACCGTTAAATCGTGATTCTTCATTTATAACCGTTGAAAAGTTTTGTCTTATTACTTGATCTCTGAATGTTTGTTTTTTGCAATTTTTGACGTATGCGATTTTGAAGCATATATAAACAAGTTTGACAGTTGGATCGTTGAAATTAGTTTCTAAGATGCGTATCTCATCAAAACGATAGATTCACTAACACTTAAGAGTTTATTTATACTTTCATCAAGTATAACATAAGATTTTGTGGTATCCCCTAGTGTAAATATTTTAAATTGAAGATCGAATTCATTCATTGTATTTATATAAGGTCAAGGAGTGTAGCTGTAAAAAATCATCAAAATCAAAGTTAAAATAACCGTTAAATCGTGATTTTTCATTTATAACCGTTGAAAAGTTTTGTCTTGTTACTTGATCTCTGAATGTTTGTTTTTTGCAGTTTTTGGTGTATGCGATCTCGAAACATGTATAAACAAGTTTGACGGTTGGATCATTGAAATTAGTTTCATAGGATGCGTATCTCATCAAAACGATACATTAACACTTAGGAGTTTATCTATACTTTCATTAAGTATAACATAAGATTTGTGGCATCCACTAGTGGAAATATTTTAAATTGAAGATCGAATTCATTCATTGTATTCATATAAGGTCAAGGAGTGTAGCTGTAAAAAATCATCAAAATCAGAGTTAAAATAACCGTTAAATCGTGATTTTTCGTTTATAACCGTTGAAAAGTTTTGTCTCATTACTTCATCTCTGAATGTTTGTTTTTTGCAATTTTTGGAGTATGCGATCTCGAAGCATGTATAAACAAGTTTGACGGTTGGATTGTTGAAATTAGTTTTGTAGGATACGTATCCCGTCAAAACGATAAATTCACTAACACTTAAGAGTTTATTCATACTTTCATCATTTTGAAGGGATACGCATTGATGTTATACTTAATGAAAATATAAATAAACTTTAAGCGTTAGTGAATCTTGTCGTTTTGATGACTTGGAATAAATATATTAATTATGTATATATTTTAAGTGTTAATTAGACTATGTTTCAATTAGTATGTGATGATATTTAATAATAAAATTACATTTATGTTTTTTATTACGTATTTTATTTTTATTCAAGTTAAAATGTTATAAGAGATAAAAAAAAAAAAGCTAGTTATTTTTTTTCTTTGGGTTAAACATTAGGCGGGAAATGGATGGATATAGGTTGCAAAATTTCCCAAACATTAGGTGGGAAATGGATGAAACTCTTGAAATATTAGGCGGGAAATTAATTATTATAATTTTTTTTATGTTTTTGGTATTTTTAAATTACTTGATATTTTTATTTTTAATGTGTTTTATGATTTTTAATCTCAATCTTTGCCTATAATATACTATAAAAATAAATAAATAAATAAAACTTAAATTTTAAAATTTATATAGAATAATAATTAATAAACAATATATACATATTCATTATATCTATTGCATTTTATAGTAAGTTTTTTTTAGTAGTTTAAAAAATTAAAATCATCAAAATAACATTTTTCTTATCGTGTCGAAATAGGTTACCCGCGTGTCACTCTCGTGTAAACCTGTTAAGGACCCGTTATTAACGGGTTATTATCGTGTGATCCGATAATGACCCGATTAGTTATCATGTTGACCCGAAACCCGTTATTTTCGTGTCGTTTACGTGTCGTGTTAACGGGTCGTGTAATAAATTGCCAGGTCTAATACAAACATATCTATTGTTTTCATTTAATGTATTCTTTGATGACAAAAAATTAAGATGCATATGTGAGAAGCTAAAAAAAGTGTGAAAATCATCCCCTTCAAACAAAACCATCACCAACACAAAATGTTAAATATTTTTCTTTAGACGGATTTCACCGCCATATGGTTACATAGCATCTTGGTCCAATAAATCATGTAAAAATAAAATTTTCTATCATATTCTATTATGGCACGAGAACGTTACGACAATATTGAACTTATTCTATACAAGTCCTTCACAAAATAAGTAAATTAAGAAATATGTAATCGATCGATGTAGAGGCCAATGTGTCAATATCACACTTGTTCGGTTGGGAATGGGTTTGCCATTATCTGGTGTGATGGGGAATTTGGCCAAATCCATCGATTGATTTTTTGGGTTCTTGTTTGTCCTTAAATTCATCTTCAACTGTTCTTTTAACTCCTTCACTTCAGTTATCAGCTAATTATTTATTTACTTCTCTTGCATTGATTAATTAATTATTCACCTAATCCAACTTTTAAACTGACTAAACAAAGTGCATAATTGTAAGACGAGCCATCATCTACCATCATCTTGCAGATGCTATTTATTCGCAAACCAATTAGGTTCTGTTTGACAGCTCGAACTGTATTGATTATTTCTGTCGAATATGATAAATAATCATCGGATACTACTGACTAAATTAATCGGTCATTTTTTGCGAATATCGGACTAATGACCGTATTATTTATCTTGTGTTTTATAGATTACAAGATATATTGTTGTACTAAAATTAAAAAAAAAAAAGAAAAAAATTATGTTATTATATCTAAAAAAACCTAAATATTTCTCAAATATTATCTTCAAAATACAGCCATCGACACCGCTTACCAGAAACGTAAAATTAGATATTGAA